AGTCAACTGCAAGCATACTCGCTCGCTTGGCAATCACAAGATTTCCGTATCGGTGCCCAGGCGCAGTCAACTTTTCTTAAACTGATCTGAGCAAACAAAAACTATCCCGGGTATGTATATTCCTAACTTTCTTCGAAAGGCGGGACAAAAACCTCTGAGTTACGCATTTGGCCCTTGCGAATTTGTTACGGCACTTGGCCTTTGCAAATTTTTCTTGAGGGCGCATTTCAATTCAATCTGGCAAAAGAAATACACTACGCTATAGAACCTTACAGAAGTTTAGTGATGTGGTCGGAACAAAAACAGAGATATAAACACGAAACTTCATTTTGCTAACAAGTTAACAAGAATAGCAGAAGGTCCAAGAGTGACAAAAATTCACAAAATTTATAAAATTACATTTATAAAATTACCTTCTAAATGACAAAACGGATGCTGCCAATCTGCTGATATTCAAAGCAAAAGAGTTTTAAAAAGGGAGCACCAGCCATTTGTCTTAAGCATTTGATAGTGTCACAATTTCTTTTTCAACTTTCACGAAGAAGTGTTCAGAGATATCGAGCATAAAAAATGCGCTTCACGTGAGATACAGCAAGATCGTATGTTACACAACTTTTGCACAAAAGTTATGAGTATTTTCTCTGACTTGGATTTATAAAAAACGGTCTAGACGTAGGACATACTGCTCGCAAGCACGTTTATGAATTAACAAAGCCAGTTTTTTAGATAAAATTCTCATAACTAGTTCTCGCTTGACAATTTAATTGAAACTTTCTTGAGGATAAAGTTGATTTTTTCCTTTTTTTGTTTTCATCTCGTGCACTAAAGAACCCAAGTACAGAATACAGATTTCCCATGGAACGTTCATTTTTTGCTAGTCCATTTTGAGTTATTTCAAATTGGGATGACTTCTGAGCCAATCAAGAGGAAGAAATACGCGTTAATGAAGAGATAGGAATCAAGTTTGCAAAATTTATCCGTAGTTGGACATAATTAAAGTTTTCATAAACCTAAAAAAAGCCGTCGAAATTGCTGTTTAAAAATTTGAAATTGTTCAGTAAAAGAACCCCGAGTTTAGTTATTCAGGCTATTTTCTGAAAAAAAAACAAGATGCAAAGCCATTTTTGCAGCATGCAAAATTTATTTTAACAAAGCTGCGCAGCTCAAGGTAAACAGTTTAATCTAGATTTTCTTTAAATAGATATCTAGATATTTTTCATCAGACAGCTGGTAAGTATATAACAGAAACTAATTTCCTTCAAAAACTTTGATGGTGACTTCTAATAGTAGATTTTTTGCAAAAATCGATTTAAACTAGAAAAAAAAACAATCCATCAGGAGAGTTCCAAATAATCAATTATGCTCAAGTATATTAAGCCAAACAATTTTTGAGTCGCTCAAAAACTGTTTGGCTAGCCAAACAAAACAGACCAAAAGAGAAGCTTTTCTAACTAAACAATTGGGCCAATATTTTTTTGTACAACAAATTTTTGATGTAGATGGGTCAATCTTCAACCCGCACTTCATCAACTCGGTTTATATTTTCCTGAAACTGAAACTTTCTAACAACAGGTATAAAAACAGAAGCAGAGCGGAGCTTCGCACCACTTGCATTACAAAACTAGGAAAACGTTTGGGCGAAAAAAAAGAGTTACAGCCAGCAGAAAACACATATTTTGAACTGTACGAATACTTAAAAAACTTGCATGCTCAAAAAGTTTATGTTGTAGTAAACTTTCAACACAGATTAGTCGTGCGACGCTTGAATCCAGGACGTGACTCGTGTAAATAAGTTTTTTTACGGGAGAAAAAGACTGGTGCTCGATTGCAAATATCTTGCTAATCGCAAGGGTAAACACAAATACATAATTAAAAACAATGAGTTTCCAATAATCCAAAGACTATTCTTCTCGATTCTATTTTTTCTAAGCTTTAAATAAACATTAATTTTAATGGATCAAGTCGAATTATGACCGGTTTCCCAAATTATGATCACAAACACAAATTTTTGGGAAATTCATCCTAACTACTGAAGTGGTACGTCCATGATTTAAGACTTGTTTTTAGATTCTACAGACAAGGGTTAATTTCTTACTTTCAAATTCTGCGTTGGCTGGATAAACATTTCAGCTATGGCTTTTAATTTTTCACGCAAGAACGGGTTTAGTTCAGTGTAATACACAAATCTGCGGCAACCACATACAATTTGCGGAATCAGCTTCCAAATTTTGCAAAATCCATTCACACTTGTGGGACTTGCTTGCATTTTAAGGAATCAACTTGCATTTTGTGAAATCTGCTTCCGTTTGTGAATCCAGAACATAGCCAATCGAAGAGTGAAAAAGAGTAATGAACGCAAGTAAAAAAAAATAAAACCCTGACTTTCTTGAATAAAACCCTTAACTTTCGAATTTCAAAAAAAGATGCCCTTTAAGCGCATTGAATTTCTAGAACAATTTATGATTGGCGCTTTTTTGATAACAGGAACTCTGAGAAAACGGGATCAATAGGTAAAGTTTATTTTCGACTGGGAAATCTTAAAAATAAATTCCATTTTCGAAACTAGAAATTGTTCACGTTTTTAGCGCCATTTCCCCGTTCGTATTTGGAGAATGCTATTTACGTCACTTTCAGCAGACGAATTTCAATTGAATTCAGAAAGCGCATTATACCTAAGTGCATCAATATCTCAAGACTTTTTCCTGAAAAAAAAACAACAAAAAATCTGCAAGACCTATATAAGAGTCTTCACTATGTTCATTACTCTTAAACAACTAGCAATATTCGCCCGTTGTAGAATCTGCAACAAAGCTATTGTACGACAAAAAATACGTTGCATGTAGATGTGAGCAAATTCCACGGAAAACTTGTAAATGGATTCCACTTCCAATGCTAGAATTTCTCAGCTAGGCAAATCAAAAAGTTTACAAAAAAAGCTACAATTCATGAACATACTATAATTTTCTCAATAGATTAAACCTTAAAAGTCACGATAATTTTCTAAACAAACAAAAGTACAGATATATTCAATCATGACCTTCATTCTTGTCTTTAGCGGTTTTTTGCCCATGGCACTGTTTATGTCAATATTGAAAGCAGTACCTCAACTTTTTTTAGAATTTTGTTTATGGTGGGAAAATGAATCAAAAATTTTTTTGCTCAAATAGCAAAAGACGACACATTCCCTAAAAATCGGAACCTTCTAAAACTTCTAGCAGTCTTTCAATTCTAGAAACAACAAGGACGGCTAATTGTTTTGCAATATCAGCTTTCATCAGGGATTAGTTAAACTATTCCGTCTTCGTCGTCTTCAATGTCGACTGTCTCTTGATTAGGGTTTAGAACTTGCCTCGTCACGTAACTCTCACGCAGCTTCCGTTCTTTTACTTTGCTCGGAACATCCGTAACCACCAGTTTAATAAAAATAGTAGCAGCCACTACAAAGTTCTCAAAGAAGAACACAAAGCCAAGTTTAATGGCCACCAAATGCCAGTAAACGGAAGTTAGTTGAAGTTCTTCTACGTGTCCGTTCGGGTAGCGGAGACCGGGGTAGCGGCAGAGTTGATTGGTTGCTCGAGCTAATTCAGAAGAAGAAGTGAAGCCCTCTGTAACGTTCCATTGGGTGCGACTGGTTATGAACTCCAGAAACGCTAAATGTTTAGTATCTGAAATAAAACACATTTCGACTTCTGTGAAACTCTTGATAAAATCAACCCTTACGCGACCATTTCGACTGTCAGCAAAACTTAATAACTTCATCTATTTTTTTCTCAAAATCTGCGATGGGTCGCTAACTGAAAAAGTCCGGAATAATCTCACGAATTATCTAGTATAAAGATTATGTTACTTACCGGGAATATCGTACTCGAATCTGTTCAATTGCCAAACAGTGTTACCAAAAAAAGTATTCTTAACTGACTCAGCGCTTCAATTTTCAATTTCATGTGCTGAGAGAGCCTCCAATTTAATCGTTAAGTTTTACGTTTCCCACAACAGTTATTACGTTAAATTTTCATTTAAACTAGCAACAGAAAATTGGAAAAGAGTCAATGAACGCAAGTAAACAAAAAAACGCGGAATTTTTTTTTGAATAAAATCTCAACATCCGAATTTCAAAGAAAAAATAGATGGCCTTACAGGTCTTTGATTTTCTAGAACAACTTAGAATTGACACTTTTTTTGATAATTTTAACGCAACTTGAGAAAACTGGATCAAAAAATACGTAAAATTTTATTTCGCTGGGAAAATCCATAATTTTATTGCACTTTCAAAACTAGAAGTCGATTGCGTTTTTTGTAATTTTTACACTTTTGCTGTTCGATAATGAAGTTTCTCTACCTTTTAAAAAAACAAATAAACTGAACTTATAAAGAAATCATAAGTCAAACAGCAAAAAAAATTGAACTTGAACAAAATTTAAGACTTTTCCTGAAAAAAAAAACAAAAAAATCATTGCGACTAATATAAGAGTCTGAACTACGTTCATCGAGTCCGATTTAATTAACAATTGCCCCCCTTCAAGAAAAGTTTAAGCTAGTCAAATTTTCGACAAATCAGAATGCAGCAAAGCTCGAATTTTACTAACAACGCTGAAGTGCTAACTCACTGTTTATATTTAGAGGGGTGGCAATTCTTTAGTAGATACCATAAGACTCTTAATAATTTACCGACTTGTTTTTTGAAAATAAAAACTTTTGAGTATCAAAGAAAAAGTTGCTCTCAAAGCTCTTTGAATTTCTAGATCAAATTATGACCGGCACTTTTTTGATAAAACTAACCCAATTTGAGAAAAATTGATTAACAAGTAAAACTTTGAGTCTAAAAAAACTTCAGGAATTTTCCTGGAAAAAAAAAATCAAATGATCACGACCAATATAAGAGTCTGAACTAGGTTCATCGACTCTTAGAAATCAATGGAAACTGAAATAAATGACTTTTGATCGTAGCCAATTTTTGTCTGAAGAAACTGGAAAAAAAAGAAACATTTAGGGAGATAACACTATTCGAACGCTTTGTCATAATTTCCCGATTTGTAGTACAAATTATCCAGAAACTGAGACGTAAAAGCAACTATGCACGCATTGGTAAGGACGGAAACAATTGCTATAGTCTGCAAAATGTTTAACCAGGGACCCATGTTCTTCACTTTCTCCGGAAAGGGTCTTCTTAACTGAGTTGTGAACTTAAAAGCGTCCAGTTTTATTTCCAAACATGCGTTGCAGAAGGCTATAAATGGTGCCAAAGGAAACGCAGTCGCAAACAACGTCGCAAATCCGAATTGAATAACTTGTTCGAGGTACTCGCCAAACAGATAAAGGTCATCTTGCGCTGTGAGGTAAAAATCGGCTTCCCAAATTGCAATCGAACCAACTACTAGTTCGATTTTTTTCACATGTCTTTTTTTGAGTCGTTTATTTCGGATAAAAATGTAGCCGATCTCTTTAATATTCGAGTATAACTCTAAAAGTACCATTACGAGTGCTAGCTCAAATGCAACTTCGGTAATGCAACCCGCAAGTCCGCATTGCTCCTGGCGTTGCCCGAACACTCGGCGATAGTCGCCCGGATAGCCGACAAACTTTGATTTGAAAAATGCCAAATAAATGATTGCTGAATAGTTGTTGGTTATTTGAAAGAAAAACATTTTATTCGAATATGATTTTTCAAATTCAGTGGGCGTTTTGTGTTGTTCCATTTGTGTAATTCTGTTGCAGATTTTATCCAGAACAAAATTTAGAATTTCGATGAAAATTACAGTTCCCAAGGTACAAATACCGTAAGAAATATTTCCCGCTTGTTCAGTAACCCAAACACTGGATGAGCTGTTATAAATAGCGTAGGTCAAAACAGCGCCAATAATCATCAGCATCGAAAATATGCCGAACACCGCCAAAAGTACAACTGCTACAAGTAAATTGGCTAGAACCTCGCGAAGCAGCTTCACGTTTTTAGGGATGACGTATTCCAGTTTCCCGTCTACAGGGTTGCGTTGTCTCCATTCTGATTGTTTTTTGTCATTCTTGTGGTAGACAAAGTTCTGCTTGACGAAGTCTAGAAACTCGGGTCGCACGATTTTGCTGACCTGGAATAAAAAATATTTCAGGAAAAAAGACTAGGAAAATATGCAGGAATATTGAACAGGAATATATGCGTTTGGATATAGATTTTCAAAAATTACTTTTCACTTATTTTTTCAATTACCAGACAATATCATACACAAAAGTTTCAAATTTTAGGAAATTCCATAAAGGACACATTTGAAACCAAAAAAGGGGTAATCGCCAGTTGAAAAGTATAAATGAACTCAACGGCACCGCATTATAGTAGAGTTTTAAAGATAAATAAGCCTTTAAGCTCTTTCAATTCTAAAAATCTGACACATTGCATGATGACACATAAATCTGATGAAATGAGAATTTTATACACAGAGGCAAAGCTGCACTTCGCAGACAAACAAGAAAAAGGCAAAAACTCGCTCTAAAATAGTCAAAAGGTGCAAGAAAAAAGCTTAAAAAAAGATGAAACTAATAAAATTTCTGCTAAATTCCGAATTCAAAATCCCGGACACTAGATTAAAATTTATAAGTCCTAGCATCTGCGCCATTGGCGCTTTCAATAGCTAAATATTAGGGGCCCAGCTGAAGCTTCCTGTTTGATCAAAATTAAGAAAATGTACTGATGCAAAAGGAATGCGTAGTTTCCAAAATGAATCAAACTGTCAAAAATTGGACATTTACCAAGTGTGGCGCACAGACAATTCGGCCAAAGGCAATTCAACCAATTTGAAATTCAGACAATTCACCCAAAAGTATACAGACAATTCAGCCTGAGACAATTCAGTCAGTTTTACAAAACGCTAGATTCGAAAGAAAAAATTGGAATTGAAGTTATTTCTCGGTTCAAGGTCGCCGGTGGGGTATAGAGTCCTACCCTCTGTTGGCAAGCTCGCAACACGTGGACGCGACTGCCGCGGTCACTATTTTTGGCCGCGACTGCCGCGGTCACTATTTCAAAAAAAAAATCGAAAATTTTGTCGACCTTTTTTTTCTTTAGGTCGACCAAATTGATTTTCCGAGCTCTCTCAAAGCAATAAATAGACCCTGTTTTGGGAATATTTTCTGCGTCGCAGACAAAATTTTGAAAAAGCAGGCCAAAAAAGGCATTTTCCTCAAAAAAAAAATTTTTGACCAAAAACTTATTTTTTTTCGGCGCGCGCTGCATTTTTTTAGCCCCTCAAAATTTAGTTTTTATTGGCGCCCAAGGCGCCTTTAGAAAAATTTTAGCGTACCTCACCAAAAACAGATATCTCAAAATAGTACAAAAGGGGGACCCTTTGAGTCGGCAGGAGGTCGAACCCCTGAGAAAAGGCGTTCAACCACCACAACCCTTCCCCCTCCCCGAAATCCGCTACTGTGTACAGCCGATTTAATCAAGTACGGAAAACCCGCTTTTGCAGGGAAGATTGAGGCAACTCTATTTGGTTAATTTCAAAATTTCAGAAATGGCACGATCGTTTTTGGGAAATTGAACGAAGTCCAAAAATAGGTCGAAAGGTCAAATACTTCGTAAGTCTATTGCTGATTCTATGACAAAAAAAAGAAACATAGCCAATCGAAGATCGGAAAAGGGCAATGAACGCAAGTAAACACAAAAAAAACTAATTTTTATGGAAAAATCAAAAATTTCGAACTTCAAATAAAAAAGAAGTTGCCCTTTAAGCACCTTGAATTTCTAGAACAATTTAAGATTGGCGATAACATGAAACCAACTTGAGAAAACTGGATCAATAGGTATAGTTTTTATTCCGCTGTAAAATATTAAAAACAAATTCCACTTTCAAAGCCACAAATCATTCATGTTTTTTGCGCCATTTCCACGTTCGTACTTGGAGAGTGCTATTGACGTCACTTTCAGCAGATGAATTTCAATTGAACTCAAAAAGTGCATTATACCTAAGTGCATCAATATTTTAAGACTTTTTCGTGACAAAAAAAAATTTAAAAAAACCAGCAAGACCTATATAGGAGTTTTCACTACGTTCATTACTCTTAAACAATCGCTTTCGCGAGGAATACCGCAAAAACTTGTTCTTTCTATCTAATCCTTAATCTCATATTTGGAACCGTAGTTTTCGAAAACAAACAATTGTTTTGAAAAAAAGCTGTGTCGAGCATCGCTATTCTACAAAAAGTAGCGCTTAGCCACTATGCAAGATTAAGTTAAGCGTATGTTTTTTCGATTGAACATTTGATCTCCGATTTGGGAGCCTACTTTTAGCGAAGAAAAGATTTGTTCATTCGGTTGTACACTTAACCTCAGACTTGCACGGTAGTTTTTGATAAATAAAAACATTCCAAAGAATAAGTCTCAAATTACCGACACTCAAACTTTCGAAGGTGGTAAAAATTTGATGAAAGTAAAAGAGGCAAGTGGAATGGGCAGACACATAAAAAAACTAGTCCGTCTCTACAATGGTACTACTTTTTGACAGAGACATGGCTGAAATTCGCGCCCCTTGCGACACTAAAAAACGCTAAAAATCGAAAGATAATGTTACTCAAACAAAACGTGAAAACTAAAATGCATCATGTTGAAAAAATAATGGGCTACAAAAATGGAAGAAAATTTTTGCAATTGGTTTTTTAATATATCTGAAACAAAAGAACAGTTTAAGCCACCAAAACTGAGTATATTTCTTAATCAGAACCAATAGATGGAAACAGAAAAAAAATTGGCCGAAAATCGAGATCCGAAACTTTCTAAATGAACTCAAAATCTTTGCTTAAACTCTTGCAAACAAACAACCAATATCCTACAAAAGCAATTAAAAATAACAAACAAAACAAAAATTTGCTATAAGCGAAGAAAAAAAACATTTTTGAAGAATGAATGCTAAAGTTTCTAACAATTGCCATAATAAAAAAATTGCAGAAAATCTGAAAAAAACTCAAAGTAAAATTATTCAAAAAAATCCCATATACATCAAATTTTTAAATATGAATTTGGTACGCAACGTTAAAAGAGCTAGATCACAACAAAAAAGATGAAAAAAAAATGACAAAACACCAGTAAGAAAAAAACACGCATATTCGATTTTTTTTTCAAAAACTTCAAAAACAGGAAAAAATCAACGCCTGAATGTCTCGCCATTTTACACTCACCCTATATCTTCGTAGACAAACCAATCAAGTCAAATTGCAAAAAAAAACAAATTGTTGGACATTTATGACTTTTCCAAAAATTTTGACACAAAAAAAAACGTTATGCAATCAGCTTGAATCGATTTAGAAACCAATTGCTTATACGTAAAACACACTATTTAATTCAAGTTATGACAAAATTTACTCTTTTGAACAAAAAATAAATCAGAAAACTTGCTCCGGAACAAAATTGAAAATTTAATGCAACATTTTTTTTATTTCAAAAAACTTCTCTTCTCTAACAGAAAAACTTTTCTTCTCTAACAGGCGTCTTTTAAAACCAAACAACAATGAACGATACTTACCCTCTTGAAAATTAAGAAAAAATTACTAAAAAAAATCTACCAAACAATCTCAGATAAAAAAAACACCTGGCCAGTAAGTCGAAAAAAATTGGGTCGAAATCACTAAGCCGGCAAAATTATCAGCTATTATCAGAAAACTTTGTGCGAACCAAAAATGAGCAGACATTCTCAGTTTTTCTTGAAACGACTCAAAGTTAAATCACTATGCCAATCAATTTTAAACAAAACCAATTGGTCAGAATGCAGTTTGTTAAGCAAAAAAAAACAATTGAGGCAAGATAAAATTATTAAAATTAGTAACAGCAGAAGTAATTCAAAACAATAAAAGCAACTAAAATGCCAGTTGGTTTCGGCAAAAAAAAACAATTCTATGAAGTGACATCTAAGCCTACCAAAACACAAGGGGAAAAATAAAAAGCTGACATTTTTTGAGACGGAATACATCCGGTTTGAAAAAAAACAGATCCTGTCAGATTCGAACTCAAAAAATTTGACGTGCCAGGCGTATTCGTTACCTCCAGGCCAAGTGTGCTGGAGACGCAAAGAAGTTTGAACTTAATATGAAATAGGCTAACTTTTCCATTCCTTATTTTGACCATTCTGTGAACAAACAAATTTACGAGAAAAAAATCTAGTACCCGATTGCAATACCCGTTCTCATTGCAAGGAAAAAAATTAAAACAGTAGTTCTAGAGACGAACTCGAAAAATTTGCCAGGAAAGATAAAACTTTCTTAAGCGTCTCAAAGTTTGATAAAACAAAACCAAATACTAAACATTTTCATCTTATGATTCTCATAATATAGGAACTAGCTCGACCAGATAATATAGAGATAATGTTATGAGGCAAACGTAAAACAGATATATGCTGCTAGAGTCCCACCCAACAAATGAGCGTTTTTATTTGCTACTTAGGTTGGACAAAAGTAGTTGTCGCAATGTGACACTGTGGTTCGCTTCTGTAAAAAAAAGCCAACGGACATGGAAAAGAGTCAATGCACAACTTTCGAATTTCGAAGAAAAAAGTAAATGACTTCAATCTTTTTGAATTTCTTGATATACTCATGATTGACAATTTATGATAATGCTAACCAAAATTGAGAAAACTCGATCAATAGGCAAAATTTTTATTTCGCCCGGAAATTGGAAGCCAATCTGATTTGTTGTGATCTTTACAATTTCGCTTTTCAATAAGGGGCTTCTACCTTTTTAAGAAAAGTAAATGAACTGTACTTCAAAATATATATATCAAACCGCAAAAAAGTAGTTTTGAGCTTGGACAAAGTTCAAGATTTTTCCTAAAAAAAACAACAAAAACCACCAGGACCTATAAAAAGTCCCATCATTGACTCCATCATCTTAAAAACAGTCGTTTAGTCAAATATTAGTACCAAAGTTACATATAATGCCCTTTTGAAGCATATCAATCAATTGTTTAAGTGTTTTTTTTTAATTAAAAATTGCTCATCGCATAAATGAGGAGCTCACTCTATTAACTTGTAACTTTAAAAGTGAACTAGCAAAGTTTTAGTATCAAACACACACCCAAACACACACACACATACACACAGCATCAGACGACTTAAAATGAGTCGAGTAAGCAGATATTTTCTCAAAAAAATTTTACACCGAATACACCTTTTATAAGGAATGAAGCAAAAAATGAAAAAGAACGGCAAATATGAATGAACTGAAATAGACCAAGAGAAATTTTAGTTTTATAATCAACATGAAAAGGACAAAACTCGAATACAAAGTGTACTTGAAAAGCAGAAATGACCGAAAGTTGATTTTTATCGACAAAATGAAGTAGTTGATAATATGACTCATATGGTTTTGTTAATCACGTTATTAGTCTAAAAAAACGATATGATAACGTTTGCCATTCACTGGCACAAACTAACCCAATTTGAGAAAACTGGATCAATAAGTAAAACACTCATTTCGCTGGGAAATCGGCTAGTAAAATTCCATTTTTGAAATAAGAAGCCCATCACGCTTTTTGTGACCTCTACTTTCGCTGTTCGATAGTTAAATTCGCAATCGCTTTCACATGAAAAAAAATCATCGCAACCAATATAATATTGTGAACTAAGTTTATCGACTCTTAATTAAAACTAGCAGACAGCTTTAATAAACTTATAGGAACAAAAAAAATCAATTGAGCAATTTGACGCTATCTTTGATTAACGATTTTACTTAAAACTAACTCAGTCAAAGAAAACTGGATCATTAGGTAATTCCAATGTTCCGCTCGAAAAAGTAAAAATTAAATCTAACTTTTGAAATTAATTCAATCACTTTTTGCACTCTTTGCACTTAAGTTATTGGAGAACGTAATTCTGAAAACAAAACAAAGAACATCGAATGTTGGAACAGAGTAATGAAAGCCAGTAAACATTATAAAGACACAGATTTTTTGAAAAAGTCTCAACCTCGAATTTCAATGAAAAAAATTGATGCCCTTTAATCTCTTTGAATTTTAGGAACAGTTTATGATTGGCGCTTTTTTGATAACCTGATCCCACTTGAAAAAACTGGATCAATAGGTAAAGTTTTGATTCCGCTGGGTTTTATCTTAAAAACAAATGCCACTTTCGAAACTAGAAATCCTTCACGTTTTTTCGCGCCAGTTCCAGGATCGTATTTGAAGAGTGCCATTTAGGCCATTTTCAGCAGATGAATTTCAATTGATTATACCTAAGGGCATCAATACTTTAAGACATTTTCCTGAAAAAAACAGCAAGACCTATATAAGAGTCTTCGCTGCGTTCATTATTCTTTAAAAATAAAACTCTATCTATATAAGAGATTTCACTAAATTTACTGACACTTAAAACATAGCAAACTAGCAGTAGGAAAAAAATAATGAACGCAAGTAAACAGAAAAAAAAACACTGAGTTTGTTGAAAAAATCTCAACATTCGAATTTCAAACAAAAAAATGGATGCCCTTTCAGCTCTTTGATATTCTAGAACAATTATGATTGGCGCTTTTTTGATAACATTAACTGAATTAGAGAAAACTGAATCAATGGATAAAGTTTTCATTCCGCTGGAAATCCAAAAATTAAACTCCTTTCGAAACCAGAAATCGTTCACGCTTTTTTGTGCCATTTCCACGTTCGTATTTGGAGAGTGGCATTTAAGTCACTTTCAGCAGATGAATTTCAATTGAACTCAAAAAGTGCATATATACTAAAGTGCATTCATAAATGCATTAGTATGTATGAATGCACATATGTAGTTATCAGAGCATTTTGAGACTTTTTCTGAAAAAAGAAAACGAATAACAAATCACCAAGATCTATATAAGAGTCTTCCCTGCGATATTACTCTTAAAAACAGCGTTGATACCTCTGTGGAAGTGAACAAGTCCCAGTCGAATGAGTAGCAGTTCTGTTCTCTCTTCCAGCACTCGAGGGACAGAATGGCCCACACCGAGATGAACACGGCCATCACTATGGTCAGGGGATTGTCGAACAGATGCGCAAATTTGACTGAAACCCACACAAAAAAAACTAGTCAACAATGTTCACCACAAGAAATGTATGCTAACTAGTCTGAATGTTTTAAATTGATATAATTGGTGAAAACAATTGGTCATCGTTCATAATTTTCTTAAATCAGCGCAAAAACGATTCTCGAGCGCAAAATTGATTGTTTTGTTATTGGGGTTGGTCAAGGTGCCAAATATGTCTACATTGTCAACCTTGACCAGATCATGAGTCAGATAGTGTTTTGTCATAATATTTCTTTAAAAAGTTAAAACATAATTTCCGAATCACTGATTAACAAATGGTTTATAATGTTAAGGCCCTCAACATACCGCTGCTCGCGAAATGTTTAGTTTTTCCTCTCTTTTTCTAAGCACTGAAAATTAACCAAACAGCTTTTTCTTGACGCCATTAGTTTTGTCTGGATGCAGAATCTCACCTTGTTGACAAGCACTATCAATGAGTGAAAAGTCGCAGAAATCACAAGTCGGACACAACACCAAGTCGGGTCTCGGCTCATCTGAACATGCTTCCTTTACCACCGGGTCAAAGAAGAGCAAAATGAACCCCAGCAGGAATACAACCACCCCAAATATAGCCGGGTACATCATCCAGCGAGCATAGAACCCAAGCCATGCAAAGTAAAGTCCAGTTTTTTCTCCAAAATAACGTCTGATTTCCTCCAACGGCTGCATTTTGAAAAATGCTTTCTGTCCCGACCATGAGTAGAACAGTTTCTGTCGGTCGTTCAAGTACTTTTCGTTTTTATCCCAGGGTCCGTATTTTTTGGCGCTGTCTTTGGACCACATGTGTGGACCCGAATGGACAGGATAAGCATCAGTGTAAAGGTGTGTCTCAACAAGATGGTCGATTCCCATACTTGCAATTTCAAGAGCAGGCGCCTTTCCTGTTTTTGTCTTTTGACCTGTCCTTTCAATTGACACTTTCGGTTGTTCAGTGTGCGAAACAACGTAATGAGCAATTCTGGATCGCTCTGTATCAGTTATGAAATTGTCAACGCCCATTTTGTCCAGGGGAAAAAGCGCCATTTTAGTTTTGGTGAAGGGCGCTTTGAAGTATTTATGCGGGTCATATCTGCCTGGTTTTTCTTTAAACTTGGTTGGAGCCATACACTTGCTGTAGGACGAACTTCTCCATTGCTTTGAATCCGTTTTGACTAAAATAATATTAATTGGAACATTGAAGTATGAGCCTATGTATATTTACCTGATTTGCTAGAAATCAACACAAACTTTGTTGCACACACAAAACAGACACATTTTGAAACAAGGATCGCCGGTTAATGTGCAAGTAGCACAAAATGTTCCGACCATAGTCCTTTAAAAAGCTACATAAAAAAGTTTGTTTTTTAAATTAGGGTAGTTTTTGCTGCATGGTGTGATAAAAGAATCTGACGTAAATCTATAATTTAGGCATATCCGACAGTCATAGTTATTAAAGCATAATCGACAAAAATTTTGGTCTAAAAATGATTGAAAACCTTCAATCAAAAAAAATTCAAAAAAAAAATATATTTTTTGGCGGAAAACTTTTTAAAGTTTTTGATTCTCAAAAAGGCGCGGAGAAAACTCAAAAAACTAACTGAACTTGCTTCAAACTAATTTTTTAAGGCTTAATGTAAGCATAAGTAGTCTGCTGTAAGCCTGCTCGCTCGCTTTATTCGCTCAAAATTGAAATGAAAAAAAAAATTGAACCAGTTTTTCTCGATACTGAGAAAATTTTGAAAATTTTTCATTGTAGTTCGAATCACGACTGAAATTATGTAAATCACTAGACCCATTCCGACAACTCTGTGTGGTTTCTGATTTTGCAAGCAAACAAAAAAACTAAAACACCCGAATATTAAGTTCCTCCATATTTTTCAAATGATCGGAACAGAATCTATATAAAACATCAAAAAATAAACTCAAGCGCGTAAAAAGAAGATTTTAAATAAAAAAACGGTTCCAAGACAATTTTTGAAAGAGTTATCAGCTTTTAAAAAAGCCAGCAAAAGTTTTTTAAAAAATCAGCTGGATCTAAATAAGAGTCTTCACTACGTTCATTACTCTTTAAAATTATTATTTTTGTTCCTATATGGCATGTCAAATGTGCAAAATTGACATTTATTCCGAAGGCAAATCTTAACCTTTGGGTTTTCACAAGACAAAAAAAACAAAGCGAAACACAATTAATTGTCAATTTTCCTTATGGAAAATGCCTAAAATACAAATTTAACGTATGGAAAATTGCTTTTCATAACATTTTGCATGTATAAAATGCTTATAACAGAAACATTCAATTTTCTATGGAGTTATTGACAAGAAAATTTTCATTTTCAAAATGTATAATTAGTTTTAATGATTAAGTTTTGGTCAACTCATGACTTTGGCGTGTTAAATACCAACAGAAGTTTAATTTCTTCATGGCGGTAAAACCAAGCACATATTGTGATCCTCCGATCCCTAAATGATTTTCGGTGAGATTTTAAATGTAATGAATCAAGTGGTGGACCTCGGCTCGGGTAGTTTAAAAGGATTAAAAAGATACACGCTAAGAGTATTTTCACCAATTGGCATTTTCCAGTTGAATCTGGCAACCTCATCCACCAGTTTGTAGTTCTCCACAGTGCAAAGCGTGAAGATCTTCTCGCTTTTGTCACGTGACTCGAAAGTGCCCCTGACCTTCACCAGCTTCAGGCCACTAGCTCGCAGTTTGGCTTCAAATTTGGCTCGACGCGACTGCACCCTAGATTTTAAATTTAAAAAAAACTCGTTACTTAACTTACACAAAAATTTTCAGATTTAACACAGCTTAATCTGACGCAGCATTTGAGAGACAGGGAGCATGTAATGCACATAAAAGTTTTTTAATAAAAGAATTCAATTCTTCAGTGCACAAAAATATGGCAAATATTCACCTCTTTTAATTTCTATACTGGAGAAAAAGTGATACATATCTAGGTTTCTGTCGTACTACAACGTCTAATAGTCGCGCTTTCTATGTTCGGCCAGATAGCACTGTGCAAGTTATTAGTCCAATAGTACGTCTTAGTCCCTCTCTTAATTTCCGTAGTCTCAATAAATCTGCGGAAACACACCCGTAAAAAATAGATAAATTGCAGCTTAACAAAATTCCGAGTTTTAGACATATGCGATGCAAAAATTAATATTAAGGATTGAAAACAACTGAAAAGACAAATCTAAAATTGAAAAAAAAATCTTCAAAAAAATAGATTTTTTTCATGTCAAGAAAAAATGAATTATAAAAATTGCTAAAACAAGCCGAAAAAACAATGAAACGAAGATACCTCGACCATTAGAAACTTTAAAATTAGCATAAAATTGCTAGAAAGAAGCCTAACTTTTAAAAAGTGCTTTCTGCTGGAACTAAGCAGACCGAAGTCAGCAAACAAACGATGGTCTAAAATAGCAGAAACGTTCTAGTTTGCAAAAGAAAGTCCCGGCCGGATTGAAACTACAAGTTTTTGTCGTTTTAACTAGGCGTGATACCTGTACGCCAGATGTGCTGGATGGTTGCTTGAATTTGAATTTATAATAAAATAGGTTGAAACACGAACATTTTCCGTGCAATTTCTGTGAAAAAAGTTGTTTACGGGATAAAAATATAGTACCCAGTTGCCACAACCTAGCTTATCGCATCGAAAAAACAGCGTTAAAAACCCAGCTATCAGTCTTTAAGCCCAAACTATTATAAGCGAAAATCCAAGTTAAAAAATTGACAAAACGCTCTCGCATTGTTAAATTTTCCACAAAAAAAAACATCCAAAAAATGGAATAAAAATTCAACCTAGTCAACAACACAAGGCATCTCTAAGAACTTGACTTTTCAGACATTTAAAAATGCATTGAACCTTAAAATAAAATGTCTAAATTCTAGATTCCTATCCAACCCCATCAATTTTAGCGATCTTAAGCTTAGGTTTTTTTAAATCAGCAACTTAGATTTCACACTCTTTTGTGTCGTCTTTTGTCTTCACTCGGTGCACGAGAACCAAGTCGATTCGGGTCCATTCACCCGAATTCGGATCCACGTAAAACTCCTCTAAATTGTCCAATCTGTCATACACGCCTTCCATAGCCAACCCCATATCCTTGGACAACACAGTTTTAGCCCGTTCGAATAATTTGATCTTTTCCGTCTTGGGTCTTTTGCTGGGCCTCGCATCATCTTCAAAATCATCTTGCTTTGAAGAACTCATGTCAGTTTTCCTTTTTCTTACTCTTTTTACTTGTTTCGGACTAACCATTTGGCATCACTTGAGAATTCGCGAGAAGTGACCAACGAATCTTTTCACGTTGCGTGATCAAGTTTCATTCCCGCTTATAAGTTGTTTTATAAATTATTCAGAATTTTTATTGCCTGTAGTTCATTAATCGCATATGTTCGTTTTAAGAAAACCTGGTTTCAAGAACCATTTTAGAAAACATTAATTGGAGTTTAATTGAAAATATTCTCAGTTGACAAACATTGTCTTGCAACGTCAAATACCGAATACGCTCATTGTTTTAAAGTCCACCAAAATTTTAGATCATGTTTTGAGCAAAATTTCATCGTTGCGCTAAATCGGGAAACTAAAGGGAAACTGGAACTTATGAACCCTAGACCTCGAATTCCAATTTAAAAACTCCTTCACGGCAACGATTGTAAAATTGAAACTCTGCACTTAGAGCCAGATAGGACCATAAAACATTTTTTAAAAACTTGGATAACCGTTTTAATATCACTGTTAATCAATATATTCATAAGCGATATGTTTGGGACTTTTCCCCCAAAGAAGACCAACTAACATCAAGCCATCAAAACTTGAGTTATTGTTCGTACAAAAGTTGCATTTTAGACGTCACTGCTAAAAAAAGAAAGGGCCAGCAAAATTTTTTGTTAAGAGTCAAGTTCCACAGATCACAAAAAGAGAACACAATCCCATTGAATATCAAACTATTTTATTATTTATGGTTTATAAAACGTTAATGCGAATATTAGAAAACATTTATGAACTGCATAAATTATAAAATTGCAACATGTGAAAAATTGATTAGCAAGTAGGAAAGTTAGGTGGAATCCCTCATGCGCGAAAACAAAAATCAGCCAATCAGGTTTCAATAATCTAAAATTGGGAAAGAAAGTAAACATTTCCAGGGACTGAATATTGATATTGGCCGAATATAAAAACGGCAGAAATATGCAAAGTTTTTAAATTGTCACTGATCGCCGGCGAATGGGAATGAGTTTTATATTTCAAGGAGTTCGTTATGAAGGCCAAGTGATTCTTTTTAAAAAATGATTTTCGGCTAATTTTGTTTTCGGTCCTCCGCTTAAAAGTTTTTTCGCCCATTCGGTCCTTCGCGCATGAGAATAGCCTACGGAAAGTTAATTGTATAAATCAGTTCCATTTGTAGCAACAGAAAAAATCAATTGCGTTAGTACCAAGAAAATATTCAATTGGCCTAAGACTATTAAGCCGACTACTTTAAGCTCTTGGTTTAAGGTCGCCAGTAGGCGCGCTACGCGCGCGTCTCCGCTTCGCGCCGATAACCGGCTCTAATTTTCGTATAAAGTCCTACCCTCTTTTGCCAAGATCGCAATACGTTGGCGCGACTGCGGCGGTCACTATTCTGCTGTTTACTTTTCTTCTGTTTGAACACTAGAAAATAAATCTAATAATTCGTTGGCTCACAATTCGACCAATCAGAAATCGAGTTGAATAATTATGGTACAAATGGGACCAATTTTTCACTTTGGTACACATGAACGTTGGTATAAATGGGACTTCACCTTGCTTTTCGTCTAACTTCCTAAGCCCCATAAAAACTATAATCAAATGGACAGCTCACCGATAAAAACATGGTGTGAGGAAAAAAATGTTAGCAAACAGACCATTTCTAGCGTGATATTTATTTACAGTCGTAAAAATTGCGTGGACGCATAAGATATGCGATATTTGCATTTTTCAATTACGACTTGTTCAAAACCGAGCAGTCGACACCTTCCTATATGAGGCAAATAAAGCAAAAATTTTAAATCACAAAAAAAGTACACATCATGACAACAACAAAATCAAACAAAAACTTAAAACAAATAACATTTATCAACGACTTTCAGATTAACGAGATGAAAGACAAAGGGAACAAAACAAATTTACTATCTGCTAACATTTAACAATCACGGATTAAATTATTGATAAACTTTTAAAAAACTATTTTGTCAGCAAAATTAACGCATTTCAAAAAGACAAGGATTTTAGCCGTCATACCTAAATGCACAATTTTATACTGGAAGTACAACCGTTGCACTTCACATACACAAGCAAAAACATGACAGATGACGCTACTGAGAAAAACTGAATGAGTAAAACTTTGAGTCTACAAAATTTCTTAAGTGACGCACGCTAATTATGACGCATTAGCAGTATCAGTCCATTTGAAAGAAAAAAATTATCGACTAACATGCCTAAAGTTATAGAGCAATCTATGGAGCAGTAAGAACGTGAAAAAATTAATGTAAAAAAAGGATGTTTTTTTTTAATTTCAGATTTTTTGTAAAAAACATCCCCCACCCGCCATATTAAATACACAGTGATAAATTTAGCTCCTAGTAACAAATCAATCATGGCAAATAAGCTTCATTCAACCAATTTGGAACGATTTCTATGACGGATTAAATCTCCGCTTACCCGTTAATAGCGCGAAATATATCGCGAGTTAATTGTCCCAAATTGGCCAAAATGGCAATTTTTAAACCCCACAACTTTACAAAAACTGATCACAGATAAACTCTCTTTCCAAATTTCAGCTCAGGACAACAAAATTTTTTGAATTATATTTGAAAAATCCAGTCAAAAATGGCTAGTTAAAAAGTCGAATTTGTCTGAAGAAAAAAAAAACCATCCCGCTCACAAATATTTCGTAACTTTGGTTAGGAAAGTCGGAACAATAATAGTTTTTGTTTCCTTAGCATCGACTGTACTTGATAGCTGGTTATTAATAAAAAAAATACACATTTATTGCAACAATTTTCGCGTTGCAACAATATTTGCGACTTAATTTGGCAAAAAAAGATAGTTCATACTATAACATAAGGATGGCTTGCGTAAATATCTGCAGTAGTACCGTAAAAAGATAGTTAAATTTTTTTTATTTTTTTTTCTTTGCTACTTTCTAAAAGCCATCATATTTTTCACTAGATGTACAAGGACATTAAGATTAATTACCTCCCCTGGTACTGATGAAAAAATGAAGATTTTTCGAAACTTACTAGGTTATTAAAATCTAGAAAATTCATGGAAACTGCGATTTCTCAAAACAAAATAACCACAAACTGAGGGGTCAATTTTCGATAAAATTTTCAACACTTGTGTTAGCACTCAAAAAGAGACTGAGTGAGGTTTTGAACAAGATATTATACGATTTTTAATGGGAGGTTATGAGTATTGAAACTAACTTCTTATGCTACGCTTTTCTCTCAGTATTAAAATTTTTCTTTAAAAAAAGCCCTGGTCAGATTCGAACCTAGCGCCTTCGCTGTCTCAGGCGTAGTCATTACCTCTAGACCTATTGTGCAAGAAAATCTAGGAAACTTGAATGTATTTTACACCAATTTATCAAAAATTTTGACTGATTTTGTCAACCAAGTTGTTCACCTGCAAAAGTCTAAAATTCCGATTTGATAATTGCAAGCGTAATACAAAGGCGTTGTTTAGATTCGCACCACTTTCGAAACAAAATGTGTCGAAAAAAAAACAGCAACAAACTTGTCTGTAAAAAGTGACAAAATGCTTTTTCAAAAACCCCGATACTTCAAATGCGTACTCCAGCATATTACAAAAAAAGTACCATATAGCCATTTTCTAGCCTTGATAATTTATAAAATCTCAATTGACAAAATCAAAACATAATCAACTGACTGTTGCAAAAGAGTAATGAACGCAAAAAAAAAACAGAAAAAAAGGACTTGATTTTTTGAAAACTCTCAGCGTTCGAATTTTGAAAAAAAGACGGCCCAAAGATTCTTTGAACTTCTAAAATAATTTGTAAGTGACAATTTTTTATGAAACATACCCAATTTTAGAAAACTGAATCAATAAGTAAAAATATTATTTCACTGGGTAATCCGATAATTAAATTCCACGTTCGAAACTAGAATCGATCACGTTTTTCGTGCCCTTTACAATTTTGTTGTTCAATTGTAAAGTTTGCCTTCCTTTACACAATGGAAATGCACTAAAATTAGAAACAAAAATTACGAGTCAAACCGCGAAAAATTAATACTAAGTGTGAACAATTTTCCTGAAAAAAACCATCATATTTATATAAGAGTCTTCACTACGTTCATTACTCTTCACCAGGCGAAATGAAGAAAATTTTCCCTCCCTATTATTGTCATAAACATTAATGTTTAAAATAAAATTCATGTTATTTTGTTTTATATTTCAAATGAAAAAAAAACAAATACAATAAAAAATTTCAAAAAATATCCAACTTCTTGGAGCGCAATTACATGCACATAATTGGAATACATCGCAAAGTATTTCAATTATTTTAAAAACGCTCAACTTATTGGCAAAATACTTGCTGTGGCCGACAATACATCAGCGGGCAAACACAAGTCCGGTAATGACTTTTTCGTAACAGAAATTTTCGTTTATAAAAAAAGTCCAGAACTTATTCGAACCATGAACCTTTGTTTTCGCAGACATGCGCGTTACCTAACTCTACATGTGAGAAATAACTCCTTTATTTCGATTTTTTATTAACCGAGGTTCCAAATAATTCAAGTTATTTTGTTTATCTAGTTGTTAGCCTGAAAAATCTTGGCTCCGAAGTGTTGCTAGGCTCTTCTACCGATTCCAAGCCGCTGACTTTACGAGGTTTTTTCTGAAGCCAAAATATTTTGTAATTAGGTAATGGAACAACATGCCATTATTTTAAATGCTATTTGAACGAATTGACAAAAATAAAAACTCAAAATAACTGGTGGAGAACGGTAGAAGACCCATTAATTAAAAGTTTCATTTTTTGCTTAAAAACAACCCAAAAAATCTAATTTTCGCCGAAATCTTAGAATGAAAAAATTTGCTGCTTAAAGTCGGAAATGAAAAAAAAACTAGACAAATTTTTGCTGGATAGTTTACTGTTTGTATAAAATGAGTAAGTAATTTTCAGGAAAATGATCTGAATTTGAGCCTTATGACACTAACTATTTGCAAATAATGTCAAAAAACAAAGATGAAGAATATATTAAGGGAAAAGATATAGATACAATCTGTTTTACAACCAGTGCAAACACTGCAAAACATGAATTTCTCTGGCCTGAAGCACAACTACAAAATTTACAAATCAAACAATCTTGATCCAATTAAAAGTATTACAAAGACAAGGTGACAATTAGTTTTAATCCGATTTATTAGATATCGTTTGAATAATTTTGAATATTATCATTCGATCTTTTCGTCTGGACGACTCGAAATCAATTCGTCGACCACTTTCGGGTCAGCTAAGGTTGAAGTATCACCAATTTGATCTTCCTCTCTTGCCGCTATCTTTCGTAGCACACGTCGCATTATTTTCCCTGAGCGAGTTTTCGGCAGATTTGGTGCGTTTTGAATATAATCGGGCACGGCCATTGGACCTATGTGCAATCTAACTAGCCCGTGCAAACTTTTTTCCAGGTCTTTCGTGAAATTCGCGTCGTTTTTCAGCGTTATGAAGCAGTACATACATTCACCTTTCGTTTTATGTGGTTTCCCAATCACTGCAGCTTCTACAACATCTGGATGGTCCACGAGAGCGCTCTCAACTTCGGCAGTACTCAAAAGATGCCCACACATATTTATCATGTCATCTACTCTACCAACAATCCAATAATATCCGTCAGCATCACGTTTAGCTCGATCTCCAGTCATGTAGAATCCAGGGAAACGACCAAAGTACGTATTTTTGTATCGTTTATGATCACCGTACACGCTTCGAGCGATGCCAGGCCATGGTTTCTGGATAACCAAAAAGCCTTCGCCTTCTCCAATGACTTCATTACCATCTTCGTCCAGCAGAGCCGGCTCGATTCCAAAGAATGGGAACGTCGCAGATCCTGGTTTCATTGGAGTTACGAAAGGAATATTTGTAATAACATGTCCGCCTGTTTCAGTTTGCCAGTAGGTATCCGAAATTGGACATTTCGAATCACCGATCACCTTGTAGTACCATTGCCATGAATCAGGGTTGATAGGTTCTCCTACCGTGCCTAAGACTTTCAAACTAGACCTATCGTGCTTTTTCACGATCGCCTCGCCGAACTTCATTAACATTCGAATAGCTGTAGGAGCTGTATATATCTGATTGACTTTGTACTTCTCAACTATTGCCCACAAACGACCAGCATCCGGATACAGAGGAGTACCTTCAAAAAGCACGCTTGTAGCTCCATTAGCCATTGGACCATACGTAATGTACGAGTGCCCTGTTATCCAACCAATATCAGCCGTGCAGAAATAAATGTCTTTTGGGTTGTAGTTAAACGAATACTTGAAGGTAGTCGCTGCATAGACCATGTAACCTCCGACTGTGTGCATCATGCCTTTAGGTTTCCCAGTTGACCCACTGGTGTATAAAATGAACAGCGGGTCCTCCGCATCTACCCATTCGGGCTCGCAGTCCGGAGAAAGATCTGGATCGGCCATCAAATCATGCCACCATACGTCAATTTTGTCGTTCCACAACACTTTCAGATCTGTACACGACCGCTTAGGACACTGATGGTCTATTGTTGAACCACTGGGTGACGTAACATGTCGAAATACTATGACCTTATCAACAGCTTGATTCTTTTCCTCGCACAATTTAACAGCTCCATCGCTGATTTTCTTGAGCGCAATCAATTTATCACCTCTGTAGAACCCATCAGCCGTGATCAGTATTTTAGCCTGGCAATCACAAATTCGTCCAGCTAGACTTTCAGCTGAAAACCCAGCAAAAACTATTGAATGAACAGCTCCTATTCTGGCACAAGCGAGCATAGCAACTGGCAGCTCAATCACCATTGGCATGTATATGGCTACACGGTCGCCTTTGGAAACGCCCAGACCTTTCAAGACATTGGAAAACAGTTTGACCTCTTTGAGAAGCTCTTGATATGTTATTTTTCTGTCGTCTCCTATATCATTTCCTTCCCAGAAGAAAGCCATTTTTGAGCCATCGCCGCGCTCGCATATTCTATCTAAGACATTGTAGCAAATATTTGTGGTTGCCCCGGGCCAAAATTTCACAGTAGTAGCCACTGTCTCATTGGAAAAGATAGGCGATAAATACTTGTTTTCCGGTATAGATTTCCAGAAGAAACTCTCTTGTGCAATTTTACTCCAAAATTTGTCTGGATGTGAGATGCTTTCAGCGTAAGTAGATTTGTATTCATCAAAATTCGTACAATGTGACTTATCGCCATCCCCAACACAAGGAGGTTTAATCAACACCTGGTTCTGCATACCTGAAAAATAAATCAATTGCACGTTGCGTTGAGAAATGGTGACTTCCGTGAGTGTGCATAAGCCAGCCGAAGTTATCCGAAAATGAGACAAGTATATAAGTCAGCCGAATCTTATACCATTTGCTGTCGAAAGATGCATGATGGTTGCACAATTTTTGTTGTAATTTCTTGGTAACTTTGGCAACTTTATTGGATAGCTGGTTTAAACTTCGACTGATTTGAATGCAACAGTCGTTAGCATAGTTACAAGCATTTAAATAACTAATTTCAAATTATTATCCGGCCTTAGCTTTACATTAATTGTGCAACAAACTTAAAAAATCAGGACACCAAGCTAATTAAAATAAACACAGAGACGAAGCGAAAGTTCGCATCACTCTTGATACAATGCAAGTGTAGCATTGCATGCTAGCGAATAATTAATGAGACGAAAAACTAAATCAGTTAAAAAATAGACTTTCTTTAAGAAAATAAAGAATTCAAATTTCAAAAAAAACTCGACAACCACAGTTACCAGCATTTAATAAGCTTTTAGTATTTACCAAGCTGCAAAAAAACCAACTATACGAGATAAGATGGCCATTGAGCTATAAAAAATGCCTTGCAAAATTGTTGTTCTTTCAGCACTTAAGCAATACAAATTTGAAATTTTACACCACAAAATACCAAAATTATTACTAAGAACAAAAATCAATTTGTTTCCTTCAAGCGAATTACATTAAGCTGACTAACCCGATAAAAAAATTAACACTTCAATTGCAGAATGATAATTAATATTATTGAGCAAGTGTAAGTCACACAACTTTTCTGGGATTTATACTTATTTACAAAATAATTAAATTAATGGTTCGAATTTCAACAACAAATAAACTTAAACTGTTTGTTGTTTTTCCAAAGGTTGCAATAGAAGGATCTTAACGAAAAATAGATAGAAAATATTCCTCAAATTTAAATTTCATAGTCTTGTAAGTTAGGCTGCAGCTGTTTATGTTTGAATTTGCATTTTGAATTTGGTTCCAAATAAGAACTGATGTTCTGAAAAAAAAAAACTATTTTCGTTATAATGGCTGCTGAATCTTGCTTTAGAGTGTAGATTTTTAGTTCTTTTGTTCTCGTCAATTATGTTGTTCACGTACTTGATTTTTGTGTATGCCGGTAGTAGTGTATGTTTGATTTTCCATAGATGGCAAACGATTTTCCAATGGAGAAACAAGGAAACCGGAAGTAAAATAAGCCAAAAATCAGGGCTAGTAAAATTAAGCATTATAGAGGTAATCAGCAGGTCAAAAGTATCATAGTAACCGAGATTACAGTCAGGAGACCCGTCATCACATTCCAGCCAAAATCCTTAGAATTTTTTTGAATATGGAAGTGATATTGATAAAAAGGAGATGTAAAGCAAGTCAACAAAACTACAGCAACAATGAAAGAAACTTCGTTACCTCAAAAACAAAATTGCAAATTTAATTTAAAACAGCAAGCTCAATTTTTAGCGATATGCCAGAAAAGTTGGTTACAGTAAAAGAAAAGTCTAGCTAAGAAATTTGCCAGAAGAAAAGTTGGTTTCGGGAAGTTAGTTTAAGCGGCCCTAAGCTCGCAAGTATACAGAAAATAAGAAAAGCCGGGAGGCCGGTCAACAACTAGACCACCGTTATTTCATACTTGTCACAAAGTAAACAAAAAATACTCAAGTTTGATTGGTAGAAAATATGAACCCGAAAAAAACCTGAAAAGAGAAATAACAAATCAATACCTAGTATGTCGACAATTAGTAAGGTTAGTAAACTGAAATAGTCACCACGCCCACCTAAACAACGACGGCCATTTAGGGAGTAGCAATTAATTTGCATTTTGCTAACTTTGAAAATGTTCAAAAGTTAGTCCAATAATATTTAAAAAATCTAGTGTGCGTATTGTTCTGCTCAGAAACTTTTAAAGGTTGCGTAGATTTTAAAAAGATTCTTTAAACTTTCTTGAAGGTTGTTCACTTCACTATCTTCGGCTCGAGCATATGGGAGAGAGGTAGCTCAGAGGGTCAGAAATTATCATCGTAACCGAAGTTACTTCACTAGTCCTTGATCATATCGCCCAATCATAAGACCATTTGAATGCCATAAATTAGGAAAAAGCAAAATTGAGCGTGAATTAAAAAAAAAATTCAGATGGTTGGTAATCCAGCCAATCAGAATGAGAAAACTAACATTTGCACAGAAAGAACCAGAGTTGAAAAATTGACCTGATATGAGATACTTTTACTAAGCTGCACTTTCGTTCCCTTGGCTCTACAAAAAAAATTTGCAATTTTTCGTGACGCAGTCAGCTTTCGCTTTCTGTATTGAGATGAAGATTCTCTTCTTGAGAAATTACCTGCCGTAGATTTCTCACTAAAAATTACCTGCCGTAGATTTCCCACTAGAATACTTAGAAGAAAAACTGAAAGCTAGGGCCGGCGGCATCCTGAACTTCAAAAGCTATTGCCCTACCAGCAGCCTATAGTAGCTGGCCAACCAACAGCCCATGGGACAAGCGTCAAACAATCTGGTCGCTTCGATCTGTCATGTGGAGCTAACAAAGCTCTAAAACAAGGAATGTGGGTGAAGTAAAACTTCGCATTATAAGGGCCTTCAAGTTTTTTTTGGCAAGAACCTCAGTGCAATTTTCAGTCAAGATAGGCTAAAACATCCTATTACGGTTACAGCTTTTCCCCTAACGAATCTAAAAATTTACCATATCTTTGAATCTAGGCGGAGTCCAATCGCTAATAAATGCTGTAAATTTTTTTCTTAGATTTTTACAAAGGCCGACATTCGACCATTGCGATAGGAACATATTCTGGCACGCATTGACCGTTTTTAATCAGTTGGTTCTAGTTTCTCAATCATTCAATAAAATTCGGTATCAAAAAAAAGCTCTCCAATTTTTTTGCACTTCGACTTTCGGAGTTACTTAACAATTTGCTGAGTCAAACCAAAGTTTATTTGCAACGCTCCTCGCGCTCAGAATCAAAAACAACGCTTAAGGTAGCTTTCGCTCTTACTGATGAGGCTTTAAAAAACGGGTAAGGAAAGGAGGTTAGCGGAAGAAACATCCAGGCCACTTTTGCTTTCCGAAATAACGACTAACAAAAATTGGTTATCTTTCATTTTTACATAGATAACTTTAAATATTGAGTCTGTTGAAATTTGATCGTATCGTCTAAAATTTACTCTTCAAAGAACAAGGGATTTTCCGCAAAAAAGGAGTTTTAGCATGCTTATGCAATTTTTAGAAGGTAATCTCATAATGGGCATCCAGCTTTTTGAAATTTTTCCCAAATTTTCCGCAGTTCAGCTATTTTATATTTAGCAGTTCTTTGCCAAAAGATTCGCCAATAGTGGAGCCTAAGATTAACAATTCTTCCTTGGATTTGAGTTTTATTTTTAGACGTACATTTAGAAATTGACCTATAATCGTAATATACTGCGTATTTGTGGTCGGTTCTGGAAAACATGGCTCAAGTTTTTCTGTGCTTAGGCTAAAAACATAGTTTTTTTTCGTTTTCGGTATGATTTCCAGGTCTTGGAGCACCATCTTGTAGTCGTCGGCTAGATTTTCATCATCTAAATACAAAATGTTTATTAAGGGTTGAAGCTTTTTTACTTGCGCCTGTATTGCTTTGCTAATTAGGGGTGGAGCCTCGGGGTCACCTTATTGTGTTCGTCCTCCGACATGATGGTGGATTTTATCGAGAAAAGTAACAAGATTTACTGTAGGCGCAAAGCGTGTATTTGTACAACTAACTCAGGATGGTTCGAAAACACGTGAACAACTTAGTTTCTCTATTAAGCGAATGAAAGGAATTGCTTAAAACTAATAGGAGAGAGTGTTTCGTACGGAAAATCAGAGAGGAAAGGATTAAGGCTGAATTTATCTAATTCAATTAATGATAGCCGGGAACCTTACCAACAATTAGACCACCTTTAATTTGGTTTCAATTAAAAATTGACTCGTCGCTTTGAAAAATAACAACAATAAATTACTCTGTTAACCAAGAGAAGATCATGTGGTATGCAAATCAAAGATGCTTTATGGGAAAAGCGGCAACCCGGAACTTGTACAATTCAAACCATTCTAATAGTTCTCATTCTCATTCTCTCATTATCTCCCTCTCTCTCCCTGATAGCAGATAATATTTCTTCATGGGGTTTGCTGTCCGCCATATGGGCGCAGGACAGTATCTCGACGGGATCTCAAGCTAGTATTTTAGTATTTACCAAGCTGCAAAAAAACCAACTATACGAGATAAGATGGCCATTGAGCTATAAAAAATGCCTTGCAAAATTGTTGTTCTTTCAGCACTTAAGCAATACAAATTTGAAATTTTACACCACAAAATACCAAAATTATTACTAAGAACAAAAATCAATTTGTTTCCTTCAAGCGAATTACATTAAGCTGACTAACCCGATAAAAAAATTAACACTTCAATTGCAGAATGATAATTAATATTATTGAGCAAGTGTAAGTCACACAACTTTTCTGAGATTTATACTTATTTACAAAATAATTAAATTAATGGTTCGAATTTCAACAACAAATAAACTTAAACTGTTTGTTGTTTTTCCAAAGGTTGCAATAGAAGGATCTTAACGAAAAATAGATAGAAAATATTCCTCAAATTTAAATTTCATAGTCTTGTAAGTTAGGCTGCAGCTGTTTATGTTTGAATTTGCATTTTGAATTTGGTTCCAAATAAGAACTGATGTTCTGAAAAAAAAACTATTTTCGTTATAATGGCTGCTGAATCTTGCTTTAGAGTGTAGATTTTTAGTTCTTTTGTTCTCGTCAATTATGTTGTTCACGTACTTGATTTTTGTGTATGCCGGTAGTAGTGTATGTTTGATTTTCCATAGATGGCAAACGATTTTCCAATGGAGAAACAAGGAAACCGGAAGTAAAATAAGCCAAAAATCAGGGCTAGTAAAATTAAGCATTATAGAGGTAATCAGCAGGTCAAAAGTATCATAGTAACCGAGATTACAGTCAGGAGACCCGTCATCACATTCCAGCCAAAATCCTTAGAATTTTTTTGAATATGGAAGTGATATTGATAAAAAGGAGATGTAAAGCAAGTCAACAAAACTACAGCAACAATGAAAGAAACTTCGTTACCTCAAAAACAAAATTGCAAATTTAATTTAAAACAGCAAGCTCAATTTTTAGCGATATGCCAGAAAAGTTGGTTACAGTAAAAGAAAAGTCTAGCTAAGAAATTTGCCAGAAGAAAAGTTGGTTTCGGGAAGTTAGTTTAAGCGGCCCTAAGCTCGCAAGTATACAGAAAATAAGAAAAGCCGGGAGGCCGGTCAACAACTAGACCACCGTTATTTCATACTTGTCACAAAGTAAACAAAAAATACTCAAGTTTGATTGGTAGAAAATATGAACCCGAAAAAAACCTGAAAAGAGAAATAACAAATCAATACCTAGTATGTCGACAATTAGTAAGGTTAGTAAACTGAAATAGTCACCACGCCCACCTAAACAACGACGGCCATTTAGGGAGTAGCAATTAATTTGCATTTTGCTAACTTTGAAAATGTTCAAAAGTTAGTCCAATAATATTTAAAAAATCTAGTGTGCGTATTGTTCTGCTCAGAAACTTTTAAAGGTTGCGTAGATTTTAAAAAGATTCTTTAAACTTTCTTGAAGGTTGTTCACTTCACTATCTTCGGCTCGAGCATATGGGAGAGAGGTAGCTCAGAGGGTCAGAAATTATCATCGTAACCGAAGTTACTTCACTAGTCCTTGATCATATCGCCCAATCATAAGACCATTTGAATGCCATAAATTAGGAAAAAGCAAAATTGAGCGTGAATTAAAAAAAAAATTCAGATGGTTGGTAATCCAGCCAATCAGAATGAGAAAACTAACATTTGCACAGAAAGAACCAGAGTTGAAAAATTGACCTGATATGAGATACTTTTACTAAGCTGCACTTTCGTTCCCTTGGCTCTACAAAAAAAATTTGCAATTTTTCGTGACGCAGTCAGCTTTCGCTTTCTGTATTGAGATGAAGATTCTCTTCTTGAGAAATTACCTGCCGTAGATTTCTCACTAAAAATTACCTGCCGTAGATTTCCCACTAGAATACTTAGAAGAAAAACTGAAAGCTAGGGCCGGCGGCATCCTGAACTTCAAAAGCTATTGCCCTACCAGCAGCCTATAGTAGCTGGCCAACCAACAGCCCATGGGACAAGCGTCAAACAATCTGGTCGCTTCGATCTGTCATGTGGAGCTAACAAAGCTCTAAAACAAGGAATGTGGGTGAAGTAAAACTTCGCATTATAAGGGCCTTCAAGTTTTTTTTGGCAAGAACCTCAGTGCAATTTTCAGTCAAGATAGGCTAAAACATCCTATTACGGTTACAGCTTTTCCCCTAACGAATCTAAAAATTTACCATATCTTTGAATCTAGGCGGAGTCCAATCGCTAATAAATGCTGTAAATTTTTTTCTTAGATTTTTACAAAGGCCGACATTCGACCATTGCGATAGGAACATATTCTGGCACGCATTGACCGTTTTTAATCAGTTGGTTCTAGTTTCTCAATCATTCAATAAAATTCGGTATCAAAAAAAAGCTCTCCAATTTTTTTGCACTTCGACTTTCGGAGTTACTTAACAATTTGCTGAGTCAAACCAAAGTTTATTTGCAACGCTCCTCGCGCTCAGAATCAAAAACAACGCTTAAGGTAGCTTTCGCTCTTACTGATGAGGCTTTAAAAAACGGGTAAGGAAAGGAGGTTAGCGGAAGAAACATCCAGGCCACTTTTGCTTTCCGAAATAACGACTAACAAAAATTGGTTATCTTTCATTTTTACATAGATAACTTTAAATATTGAGTCTGTTGAAATTTGATCGTATCGTCTAAAATTTACTCTTCAAAGAACAAGGGATTTTCCGCAAAAAAGGAGTTTTAGCATGCTTATGCAATTTTTAGAAGGTAATCTCATAATGGGCATCCAGCTTTTTGAAATTTTTCCCAAATTTTCCGCAGTTCAGCTATTTTATATTTAGCAGTTCTTTGCCAAAAGATTCGCCAATAGTGGAGCCTAAGATTAACAATTCTTCCTTGGATTTGAGTTTTATTTTTAGACGTACATTTAGAAATTGACCTATAATCGTAATATACTGCGTATTTGTGGTCGGTTCTGGAAAACATGGCTCAAGTTTTTCTGTGCTTAGGCTAAAAACATAGTTTTTTTTTCGTTTTCGGTATGATTTCCAGGTCTTGGAGCACCATCTTGTAGTCGTCGGCTAGATTTTCATCATCTAAATACAAAATGTTTATTAAGGGTTGAAGCTTTTTTACTTGCGCCTGTATTGCTTTGCTAATTAGGGGTGGAGCCTCGGGGTCACCTTATTGTGTTCGTCCTCCGACATGATGGTGGATTTTATCGAGAAAAGTAACAAGATTTACTGTAGGCGCAAAGCGTGTATTTGTACAACTAACTCAGGATGGTTCGAAAACACGTCAACAACTTAGTTTCTCTATTAAGCGAATGAAAGGAATTGCTTAAAACTAATAGGAGAGAGTGTTTCGTACGGAAAATCAGACAGGAAAGGATTAAGGCTGAATTTATCTAATTCAATTAATGATAGCCGGGAACCTTACCAACAATTAGACCACCTTTAATTTGGTTTCAATTAAAAATTGACTCGTCGCTTTGAAAAATAACAACAATAAATTACTCTGTTAACCAAGAGAAGATCATGTGGTATGCAAATCAAAGATGCTTTATGGGAAAAGCGGCAACCCGGAACTTGTACAATTCAAACCATTCTAATAGTTCTCATTCTCATTCTCTCATTATCTCCCTCTCTCTCCCTGATAGCAGATAATATTTCTTCATGGGGTTTGCTGTCCGCCATATGGGCGCAGGACAGTATCTCGACGGGATCTCAAGCTAAATGTTCTTGAAGCCGAAATGAAAACAAAATTCTGTTTCCAAACTACACTGAAAACCATCCTTATAAGGTAAGTTTATAAACATCATGTAAGACGGAAACTAACTTCGATATTCGCATCCAGGAGTTTTTTAGATTGCAATTTTCCATTGCTAAATCAACTAGTTTTTCGAGATGCAACATCATACGATAGGAAAACACAATTTTCAGTGTTGTTTGTTTTTGAAATTCTCAACCCTCATTGAAAATAAAATCAACTTTTTCATTTATTAAAAAGACACTAAATTTCATCTTTTATGAGCTTGCTTAATACTCAAATTTTTCATTGTTTCTTTTGAGCGTACCATTGTCTAACTAAAAATTTTTGTATCAGGAATGCCTGTTAGACGCAACTAGACTACCAAAAGATAACACACTACCCTAAAAACAAAACAGTACACAATGCCCTAAAAAACAGGAGACAATTCGCATGCTTAAAATTAGTACAAAACATATTATTGAAAAAAGAAATAATATATCAAACTTAAAAAAAAACGAAAACTCAACAAACCAGACCAACTACAAAAATCAATAGCCCTAATTACAAAGCTAGCGACTCAATTTTAGATCCGCCCCTGCTTGCGATATTGATACAAACTCCCAATGGCTCAAAAGGCTATTTTCAAGGAAAAACTCCCGCCAGATTGTATAGAATAATACAATGCTCGTACGACAGGCAGTTAAAATGAGCCAAAAACAGTAATGATCGACTACAACTGATTCAGCACTTAAACACAAACAATAAAAAAAAGAACACTTTATTTGCATATCGAAATTAATTTCAATACACAAGTGTATGTCAAATCTTTTCTATCAATTCATAAAAATATTATAACATCATTAGATACGCATAGTTACAATAAACAAAACAAAAACTATTACAATTATCGATGATTACTTTTCACCTGATAGCTTCAAGGTGGTTTATATAAAAATGTTATTATATAAACTTGAAGCTTTTCCATGAAACTTTACCATGAGTTGCCACAGAGGGCTCTAAATAACAATAAATAATAATTCTTGAATTTTATCTTTGCTTTTCTGTATGTTAGTATGTCTTTAAAGTTGACTTTATCATCTGTTAGTTTGTTCCAGATTATGACGGACTTTTTAAAGAAGGGATTTTCTATGTATTGCCCATTGTATCTGTCGCCGAAAAATAATTTTTTGTTTCTTGTATTAATATCTATTTGGTGGTTATCAAACTCAAAGTTATTA